CTCTTGCCTCCTTCAAGCCAACTGTAGGACTCCAGGGCCCTACTGGGGCCTCAAATGGTCCCTGCTCCCTGTGTCTTCTCTCAGTCCCTTCCCTGGTTCTCTCTTCATCTTTCACGCTTCCATATGCCTTCCCTTCCTATCTCTTGATCCCTAAAACAAAAGAAAAAAAAAAGACTTTTAGTTTCAGCAGAGTGCAGTGGCTCATGCTTGTAATTCCAGCACTCTGGGAGGCTGAGGCCAAGGCTGGCAAATCACCTGAGGTCAGGAGTTCGAGACCAGCCTGGCCAACATGGTGAAATCCATCTCTAATAAAGGTACAAAAATTAGCCAGGTGTAGTGGCACGTGCCTATAATCCCAGCTACTCAGGAGGCCAAGTTACGAAAATCACTTGAACCTGGGAGGCAGAGGTTGTAGGGAGCGAAGATGGTGCAACTGCACTCCTGCTTCGACATGAACCAAGACTGTCTCAAAAAAAAAAAAAAAAAAAAAAAAAAAAGATTTTTAGTTTCTTACAGCTTTTTAGGCTCCTATTAATTTGCAAATAAGAAAAATCACCATATGTTTCTTATGTTTCTATTAATTTTAAAGTATTCATAATCCCAGCACTGTGGGAGGCTAAGGCGGGTGGATCACTTCAGCTCAGGAGTTTGAAACCAGCATGGATAAGATGGTGAAACCCCATCTCTACTAAAAATATAAAAATTAGCCAGGTGTGGTGGTACATGGCTGTAGTCCCAGCTACTCCGGAGGCTAAGGCACAAGAATTGCTTGAACCTGGGAGGCAGAAGTTGCAGTGAGCTGAGATTGTGCCTCTGCACTCCAGCCTAGGCAACAGAGCAAGACTCGTCTCAAAACAAATAAATACATACATAAATAAATGTACTCAGACTATCTCTGCTAGATAGGCTAAGGAATTATTTATCTTTTGTCCCCTTTAAAAAGGGAGAACTGGCAAGGTGCAGTGTTTCATGACTATAATCCTAGTGCGTTGGGAGGCTGAGACAGGAGGATTGCTTGAGAAGAGGAGTTGGAGACCACCCTGGGCAACATAGTGAGACTCCTTCTCTACAAAATATATTTTTTTAAGTAGCCAAGACTGGTGGCATGCACCTGTAATCCCAGCTACTCAGGAGGCTGAGGCAGGATGATCACTTGAGCCCAGGAGTTTGAGACTGCAGTGAGCTATGATTGCACCACTGCACTTCAGCCTGGGCAACAGAGCAAGAAGAAGTAAAATCTTCTAAGAAATGAAAATAGAATAAATAAAGTATTCAAACTATCTCTGCTAGATAGGCTGAGAAATTATTTTTGTTTGCCCCCGTTCGGAAGGGAGAGCTATCTAAAGTCATTACAGAGGGAATACTGCAGGAGGCAGTAGAGAGCCAGTGGTCCTCAATAAATTAAGACAGATGAAGACACAGCTACAGGGTGGTGGTTAGAGAAAGTAGATTTGGGCAACATTTTCTTAAGTTCAGGGGCCCATCTGCAGAATTTTGGAGACAAAGGACATTTGTCACTGGAGAGGGAAATAGCAAATGTGCCATGAGGAAAGAAACACACAGAGCATCAAAGTCAGGGAACATGCCTTCCTTTGGAACAGCAGGGAAAGGCAGGGTAAGAAAGTATCTTCCTATGCAAAAGACTTGGGGGCCGTGGAGTCAGAGAATGTTGACTTGGATGGCATTTTCAAGATAGCCAGATCTAAGCATCTAATTTTCTAGAAGTAGAAGCAGGCTTAGAGGGGCTGAGATTTTCATTTATTTTTGTCGTTTTGTTTTGTTGGCTTTTAGAGATGGGATCTGACTATGCTGCCCAGACTAGAATGTAGTGGTTGTTCACAGGCACAATCACAACACACTGCAACCTAGAGCTCCTAGCCTCAAGCAATCCGCCCACCTCAGCTTTCACAGCAGCTGAGACCACAGGCAGGAGCCACCACACTGCCTTGCCCAGGGGTTTAAAATGACAGCAATAAATGGACTAGGAATCAGGTTTGGATGACAGCAGTTATTCTGGAGGAACTTCAATTTGGTATCCCTCCCCCACCCCGCCCAACAGCATAGTAGATGAGCATTTCAATTGTAGTCATTTATCTGTGGTTTACCTCCATCAAGGTGCCCCTGTCTGACTTTCACTCAAAACTCAGATTCTTCTAGGGCAGGGACCTAGTTCCAACCAGCCAGCGATGTGTCCCCTTTCTCTACTTTTACTCCCCTAAAGCTATGACTATCCATTGGGATGCATGAATAATGTTCATTTAAACAGGCGGGTCTGCACAATTCTATTTTTTCCATGCATTATCTTATTTAACTCTCACCACAAAAGAAACAATGAGATTGGAGGTAATATTCTGTGTTACAGATGAAGAAAGCAAATTACTGCTAGGTTAAGTTCTCCAGGGTTCCCTGTGAAATTAATCACATAAAGCCTTAGGAACAGCCCTCGGCACATGCTAAGCACCGAGTACCTGTTAGATATTATCTCTATTGTTATACTAGAGGCCATGACATGTAGCAAGTGGGAGCATGAACTCTAAAGCCAGATTCTCTGGGGTCAAACCACCATTTATATTAGCTGTGTGATCGCAAGGAAATGGAGGTAATAACAGCAAAGAAATTAGTACTCATGGTAACTGATGCATAATGAATGCTTTGTATTATTACTTCTAAATGTGTTTCTTATTTTTTCTTAGTTTAAGCACATGCCTAAAACAAACTATACACACCCATAAAATTCATATGAATCAAGATTATTACCATTCAAGCTTGGTGGCTCTCCCTATAGGTGAGGTGGGAAAGGCCTGAAAGTTCTTATCCTTATGGAGACTGGAATTTAGCAGCACTGGATTTCTAGATTTTCTACTGAGCTAGTCATTCAACAAACGAGTTGAGCTAAATGCCTACTATGAACCAACAGAAGAAAGCCACAGTAATGTAAGTCAGCCCTCCTGACTTGGAGGTGCTGATAGTCTTTCCAAGGAGACAGACAAAGAAATAATTTCAATACAATGTGTTTTAGTGGAAACTCTACCCAGTGGCCCAGATAAAACGAAGACACCTGAGCCAGGTGTTGAAGGATGAGGGGGGAAGCGGCGGGAGGTATTCCAAGCAGGCAAGCTGGGGGCATAGACAGCCTGGAGGAGTCTAGGTTGGTGACAAAGCAGGAGGAGGCTGCTCTGGAGGCTCAGCAGGAGAAGCACCTGCAGAAGTACGCATGGGCAGCATGATTGGGAAGGTTGAGAAGAGCCTTGCATATCGTTCTAAGGAATCTTTTTCTTTTCTCAGATGGAGTTTCACTCTGGAGTGCAATGGCACGATCGCAGCTCACTGCAACCTCCGCCTCCCAGGTTCAAGCAATTCTCCTGCCTCAGCCTCCCAAGTAGCTGGGATTATAGGCATAAAACACCACGCCCAGCTAATTTTCTATTTTTAGTAGAGACAGGATTTTTCCATGTTGGTCAGTCTGGTCTTGAACAGCTGACCTCAGATGATCTGCCCGCCTCGGCCTCCCAAAATGCTGGGATTACAGGTGTGAACCACCGCACCCAGCCCATTCTAAGGAATTTTATTGTGGCGTGACATGCAAATGGGAAGCTTTGAGAAGTTTTAAGGAGGGAAACATATAGTTAGAGCTGTATTATAAACCCACGACAATTAAAATTTTGAAAATTAAACTGCAGACACCAGATGCAGTGGCTCATGCCCATAATCCTAGCACTTTGGGAGGCAAAGGTGGGCAGATTACCTGAGGTCAGGAGTTCAAGACCAGCCTGGCCAACATAGTGAAACCCCGTCTCTACTAAAATACCAACATTAGCTGGGTGTGGTGGTACACACCTGTAATCCCAGCTACTCAGGAGGCTGAGGCAGGAAAATCACTTCAACCTAGAAGGTGGAGGTTCCAGTGAGCCAAGATGGCACCACTGCACTTCAGCCTGGGCAACAGAGCCAGACTCCATCTCAAAAAAAAAACAAAAACAAAAAAACAAATGAACAAACAAACTACAAAAAAGAAAAAAGTAAAACAAAAAGAAAAATCAAGTTAAAATGAGGTCACACTGGATGGGGTAGGCTCTAAATCAAATCACTGGTCTCCATTTAAAAAGTGACACAGATGTACAGATGTGTGGAGTAATAGGCACGAGGGCAGTATATGTGATTAGGATGCAGAGACTGGAAGGATGGATCTATAAACCACAGAGCGTCCACAATTGCCAGCAACCACCAGAAGCTACGAGAGGCAAGGAAGGATTCTTCCAGAGCCTTTGGAGGGAGCAAGCCCAGGTGACATTCTTTTTCGAGACAGGGTCTCACTCTGGCTCTGTTGTCCAGGCTGGAGGGCAGTGGTGCAATTTCAGCTCACTGCAGCCTCTGCCTCCTGGGTTCAAACAATTCTCCTGCCTCAACTTCCCAAATAGCTGGGATTACAGGCCCCCATCACCATGCCTGGCTAATTTTTGTACTTTTAGTAGAGACAGGGGTTTTGGCATGTTGGCCAGGCTGATCTCCAACTCCTCACTTCAAGTGATCTGCCTCCCTCAGCCTCCCAATATGCTGGGAATACAGGTGTGAACCACTGCCCCTAGTCCCAGGTGACATCTTAATTTTGTACTCTAGCCTCTAGACTGTGAGAATAAATTTTTATTAAGTCCAAACCACAAGGAATTGGATCTAATTTTCTGAAAGAAAAGTCTGGCCGAGTCACACCTGTAATCCCTGTAAGATTTATTGCTGAGGTAAAACGAGGAAACTGAGGCGAGTATAAAAAAGTGAGAAGCCAATTTATTCAGCCCCTGGGCAAGCTTCAGTGGTCCAAGTGTGAGCCAGAGAAGTTGTGCCTGGCTGTTCAGGGTGTGGGATTTTTATGGGGAGTGCAGGCAATTGATTGGTTACTCGGGAAACAAAGAGAAAGCATTTCTATTGGCTGTTGAGGAGTAGGAAGTACATGGAGTTAAGGAAGGAAGTACATGAAACTAGCGGCCATTGGTAGGTGGGCGGGACTTTGGGTAAGTGGGCCTTGAGTGACTTCTCGGGAAACAAAGAGAAGGCATTTCTATTGGCTGTTAAGGAGCTGGAAATACATGGAGTTAAAGTAGGAAGTACATGAAACTAGCTGCCATTGGTAGGCGGGCAGGACCTTGGGTACGCGGGTCTGCTGGGGGCATATGGGGCAGGCTGTTGCTGGGCAGGGAACGGTGGGGCTTCTTTAAAAAAAAATTTCTCTGTAGGGGTTTTTAACAGCGGGCTGGAGGTTGGATGCATAATTTAGTGCTGAATGTGGGCTTGGGCATGGTATGAAGAGGCGGGTAGGGGAAGCTTTGTGGGGAAGCCAGATAATGAGCTCGGGTGATGACACAGTTATCAGGCGCAGAGAGTAATGAATGTGTCTGTTTGATGCCCGGCAAGGCAACCGGCCTTACAATCCCAAAGTTTTGGATGGCAGAGGTGTACAGATTGTTTGAGGCCAGGATGGGCAACATAGTCAGACCCTATCTCTACAATAAATAAATAAAATTAGCAGGGTATGATGGCATATGCCTGTAAGTCCCATGTACTCCAGCTACTCGGATGCCAAGGCAGGAAGTAGTTTGATCATGCCACTGCACTCCAGCCTGGGCAATAGAGCAAGATCCTGCTTCTAAAATAATAAAGAAAGGAAAAACAAACAAAAGAAAAGCCTTGCAAGGTGTGTGGAGGCTGGATTCAGTGGAAAGGATTTAGGCAGGGAGAGCCTTGCATAATACCCACGAAAGATCGTAAAGTGCCCAAACTGAGAGAGTGGTGTAGGGAAGAAATAGTAGGAGGTGAGGGACAGAGAAAATGAGGAGGAAGAATACCTAGCTTGCAGCAGCAGCCCTTTTAGAATGAGAGATGGGCGATAAGGATTGCACTCCAGATCACAGCTGCACTGACCACGTGAAGAGTTGTGCTGCTGTCTGAGATAAGCAGTGCAGGGGGAAAAACAGGTTTGAGATGAGGGAAAAGGATGATGAGTTAAATTGGGAGTCCACTGAGACGTCTGCAAAAAGTCTAAGTGGAGATTCTGGCCCAGGCCGTGGAAACATGAGACAGGAGTTCCTGGGAGCAGATGCCCAGCCAAGGCAAGCGTTTGGAAGAGAAAAAGGTAGCTGAAGCCCTGGACAATGCAGAGATGTCCTGGTCTAGGAGGAGAACAGAGAGGTCATTCCCAGGCTGCCTGGCATCAGACCACCCGCCTGGAAATCACCTCATAAAATATTCCAGGGTCACAAGGCAGGGACATGAGTTTCTTGGTAATTATCAGGAACCTCAGTTTGCTTGTTTTTTTTCTTATCTTGATGTTTTAGGTTTCTGAATTTCCCAGCTTATTGGAGACAATGAATGTCGTTTATGGATATCTCTCTCTCTCTCTCTCTCTCTCTCTCTCTCTTTTTAGATGGAATCTCACTCCGTTGCCCAGGCTGGAGTGCAGTGGTGTGATCTCGGCTAACTGCAAACCTCTGCCTCCCAGGTGCAAGTGATTCTCCTGTCTCAGCCCCCAGAGTAGCTGGGACTACAGGCACGTGCCACCACACCTGGATAATTTTTTGTATTTTTAGTAGAGACAGCGTTTCACTGTGTTAGCCAGGATAGTCTCGATCTCCTGACCTTGTGATCTGCCTGCCTTGGACCCCACCCCCACCCCACCCAAAGTGCTGTGATTACAGGGGTAAGCTACCACGCCCAGTTGTGGATCTCTTTCATGAAGAAGCTGGAGACATCATGGAGAAGTGGAATGGCTTACACTTATAATCCCAGCACTTTGAGAGGCCAAGACAGGAGGACTGCTGGAGCCTAGGGTTTAAAACCAGCTTGGGCTGGGCTCAGTGGCTCACGCCTATAATCCCAGCACTTTGGGAGGCCGAGGCGGGTGGATCACAAGGTCAAGAGATCGAGACCATCCTGGTCAACAAGGCGAAACACAGTCTCTACTAAAAAAATACAAGAAATTAGCTGGGCATGGTGGTGCATGCCTGTAGTCCCAGCTACTCGGAAGGCTGAGGCAGGAGAATTGCTTGAACCCAGGAGGAGGCGGAGGTTGTGGTGAGCCTAGATTGTGCCATTGCACTCCAGTCTGGGTAACAACAGCGAAACTCCATCTAAAAAAAAAAAAAAAAAAAAAAAAGACCAGCTTGGGCAACAGAGCAAGACCCTATCTTTCTAGAATATTTAAAAATTAACAGGGTGTGGTGGTACATACCTGTAGCCCCAGCTTCTTAGAAGGCTGTGGTGGGAGGATCACTTGAGTCCAGGAGTTCGAGACTGCGGTAAGCAGCTATGATCATGCCACTGAACTCCAGCTTAGACAGCAAAGAAAATCTCTGTCTTCAAAAAAGAAAAGAAAAACAAGAGAAAAAAGAGACTGGGGTCAACCAAAAACTTAATTAAATAGAGTAAGTGTGCTTGCTCATGAATAAAAAGTCACAAATTTTCCTAGGCTATCTAATATTCAGGCATAGTTCCTGACACATGAAATTAGAGTTGACCAGAGTGAAAGAGCTGGTTGCTTTCTTCAGTATCATTAAAATAAAAAATAAAAACAAGAACGACAAGAGCAGACTTGTGCAAATCTTGTCCTAGCACAAAAGGGCTGTACACAGTGATTAGAACATTTTGCTGATTTCATAAGGCACCACATTGCCTTTGGTCAGGTATCCTTGAGTATCATAATCAAAAGCTTTGATTGGCAGTTATATGTGTGTGTTTTTTGTAAACTTTGAGAAAGCAAATTGGGCTGGTTTAGTCAATGCACTTTAATTGGTAGACATCAATTTTCAAGACCTGAAGAATCTAGAGATTAAAACATAAAACAAAATTAAATGTTATCCAGAGTGGTGACAAGTTTGGGACTCCACGTCAAGTGCTCAGCCCTTACTCACTGTCTTTGTTAGTGAGCTGGGCATCTCCGGCAGCGCCACCAGCATCCTCTGTGGTGAATCAGAGTCCCACCAGCTGAAACTTCCAAACACTTCTGTCAAGGAGCTGAGGGGAAATTTTTAAACCTGCCTAGCTAATTCCTAGGGATTCTTCAAGTGATGGTTCGTCTAAGAAACCCCCAAGGCAGAGACTAAGTGTCCTTCCTCTGGGCTCGCTCTGTTTGGCCACATTATTTTGTATTGTCTGGGTCTGCCTTTTGTTTTGTGTTACTTTGTTTTGGTTTGGGTCTGGGTCTGCTCCTAGACAATAGCCTCTTTGAAGGCAAACATGGCCTTCTTCCTCTCTCTGTCCCCAGCACCTAACATAGTACCTGGCATATTTCCAGGGCTCTACAATCATATGGACCAGAAGGCAATCTGCTTTACGATCAGACGTGCCTCTGAAGAACAGAGGATGAAGAGAAAGCAGCGGAGGAGGGCCACCCCGTGGTCTGAGGCAGCTTAATAAAGAAACCTCTTTCCTGCCTTGAGGGACCATCCCTGCAGCACCCAGCAAACACAGACACCCACTATGTTCAAGGCTCTAGGGTGACATGTGGCCCTTGGTGACTTGAAACCTCCATCTAGTTAGAAAACAAAATCCAGCAACCCATAGAGTGAGTATATGTTTTTTTATTTCAATAGGTTTTGGGGGAACAGGTGGTGTTTGGTTGCGTTCTGCAGTGGTGATTTCTGAGATTTTGGTGCACCCATCACACAGGCAGTGTACAGTGTACCCAATGTGTAGTCTTTTAGCCCTCACCCCCTTCCGGCCCTTTCCCCTGACTCCCAAAGTCCATTACATCATTCTTATGCTTTTGCATCCTCATAGCTTAGCTCCCACTTACGAGTAGAAACATAAGATGTTTGGCCAGGAGCAGTGGCTCACGCCTATAATCCCAGCACTTTGGGAGGTCGAGGCGGGTAGATCACGAGGTCAAGAGATCAAGACCATCCTGGTCAACAAGGTGAAACACGGTCTCTACTAAAAATACAAAAATTAGCTGGGCATGGTGGTGTGCACCTGTAGTCCCAGCTACTCGGAAGGCTGAGGCAGGAGAATTGCTTGAACCCAGGAGGCGGAGGTTGCGGTGAGCTGAGATCACGCCATTGCACTCCAGCCTGGGTAACAAGAGTGAAACTCCATCTTAAAAAAAAAAAATAAAAAATAAAAAAAGATGTTTGGTTTTCCATTCCTGAGTTACTTCGTTTAGAGTAAGTGTCTAATTCTATTCAGGTTGCTCCGAATGCTATTATTTCGTTCCTTTTCGTGGCTGAGCAGTATTCCGTGGTATATACACACCACATTTTGTTATCCTCTCATTGACTGATGGCCATTTGGGTTGGTTCCATTATTTTTGCAATTGCAAATTGTGCTGCTATAAACATGCATGTGCAACTATCTCTTTCATATAATAACTTCTTTTTCTCTGGGTAGATACCCAATAGTGGGATTGCTGGATTAAATGGTAGTTCTACTTTTAGCTCTTTAAGGAATTTCCACACTGTTTTCCATAGTGGTTGTACAGGTTTACATTCCCTCCAGCAGTGTAAAAGTGTTCCCTTTTCACCATATCCATGCCAACATCTGCTATTTTTTGATTTTTTAATTATGGCCATTTCATGAAAGTGAATCTTGAGAGCCCAACAAGTTCTTCCTTAATGAGAGATTCACGAAGTGGAGAAGGAGCTGGATTCTGAGTATCTTTCTTCTCCTTATCTTAGCCCCTGCGAGACAATTGATCTAAATACGCATTTATCTCAGAGCTAAGTCTAGTGGGCCCTAGAGGAAATTTAAATCAGGGCAGGTGTGGACAGAAGTGTTTGCTGTCTCTTCTCTTTCCTTTTACTTTTTTCTTTTTCCCCTTGGCAAATGGCAAGAGGAAGGTTTGACTCTAAATCCTCACAAAGTCTGTTTCTCCTTCATTGTAATTAAGGTTTCAGTCACCTGTGGCTTTACTAGAGCTGTATGTAATTGCATTCCAGGTCTCCCCTTCAAATTACTTGGGGGACTCCACTTTAGGTATGTCTTAGTAGGTGCAATCACTGACTTCTCAAATCATGTATCTACTTAATTACCCAAGCTCCCCTTCTTTAAAAAATAACAAGTAACAGAGTCTTAAGATATTTATTTCACCCAGTACTAACGGCTCACAGATAGAAATGCAGACTTTAAAGGAGTGATTGGAAAAGGCTACCTTTAATCTCTTTGAACTGTCAGCCATCAGTCTGCAAGAACAGGAAATGTGCTGTATGTAATTGAATCACCACCCTCTGTTTTTTATCCTCCATTTCTCTTCCCCGATAAAAGGCTTCTCCTGACACTCCCTTATCTTTGCCTAATGCCTCACCTCTGGGAGAAGGAGCTAGGTAGGAGCCGAAGAGATTTAATTTGGTTGCAACAATCTGGGTAAAAAAACATGCAAATGAAGTCAAAATGAAGGAGGTTTTACTTTCAGAATCCAGCTGCTATTCACACCTCCTTGCATTCTGTAGGAGCTTTCAACCTTCAGGGTAAAGGGAAGGCTGCATCCGAGTTCAAAAATGTGGTCTCAAACCTGGATTCTCCAGTTCCCCACAGGGGAACATAGGATTCCACCAATGCAGGATGAGACCTCCAAACTTGAAAAACCCCTTCAAATGAATGCTGGGTATAGATGTGCTCACAGTCCACTGTCTGGTGATTTTCAGCATTATCTTTTAGCACGTGGTTGATCACAGGCATATTGTGCTGCTTAGAAATCAGCAGAGGCTCCCTGCTGAGTGTTGGGATGGGAGGGACAGATGGAGGGGAGGACTGGATTTCTATAGAGATAACCAATGCAGTGATTTGTTTTATGACACTCCTCAGGTGAAATCCACATCGTGAGGCCAAATGCTAAGAAGGAACCTTAGCTCTTGGGGGTCAGCCCAAGCTCTAGCCCCCTGCATGGATTGTCAAGGCCACACTACAGTGCTTGAGAGTTTCCATTTCTGTGGAAGCTGAGCTCACAGTTCTGCAGCCTGTGCTTTTTGTAAGGTGGAGGGGGAACGATGTGATACTGCTGTTACCCAGTTAACATACCACATATGGCTACACTTTTGATATCACTAAGCATGGGGAGTTGGGAGTGGCAGCATGTGATTAATAGAAAAATGAAGTGGACTCAGAATTCTTGGATTCTAGTGCTTTAAGCTATGTGAACCTGTCTCCATCAAGAAATATGAAGGAGAATGTCACCTAGACTAAGAGTCAGGTCAGCATAAAAGGGCTTCATGCACACCAGTCTCCACAAGGGGTTTAGGAGACACACGCCTTCTTGTCCATACAAACGCAAGCATTGATGGAATTTTTTCGTGGGGTGGTGGACGCGAGCTTTGAAAATCTTCCAGGATGAAATCAGCTTTAGCCCTTTCTGGAGAATAAAGCTCTGACTTGTTCATGGGCTAGGGTGGACCCTGAACTGTTTCCTGAAAGATTCCTGGCTTTGCCTTCAGATCCTTCCCGCCTTCCATCGCAACAAAATAGGTTACGAGTCTACAGATCACTCTTCAGTTAAGGACACAAAACAACGTTTCTCTAAACCCTTGAACTGATACCCTCCAACTCTTATCCAAAAGCTGCATGAGAGAAAGTTCCCTAGGAAGGGCTATTTAAAAATTATTTACTTCATTCTTTCTTCTTGGTACTTTAGGATTTTTCTTTGGATACAGCTGGACATCAGTAAAGTAAACACCTAGTTTGGTACTTAATACTTAGGTTCCAAACAAAAATACAGAGTTACAGTTTCATCAGGGAAGCTTCAAGAACCAGGGTAGAAATCATGAAGCATTTGGTTTAGATCTGCTTAAGCTGTGGATCTGGAACCCCCTGCACCTCCTGTGTCTATTCTAAGAAACCTCACATCCAAGGCTGGATGCAGTGGCTCATGCTTCTGCCTTTGGGAGGTCGAAGTGGGTGGATTGCTTGAGCCCAGTAACTCGAGACCAGCCTGGGTAACTAGTGAGACCACATCTCTACATAAAAAAAAAAAAAAAAATAGCCAGGGTTGGTGGTGCACACCTGTGGTCCCAGCTACTTGGGAAGTTGAGGTGGGAGAACAGCTTGAGCCTGGGAGGTGGAGGTTGCAGTGAGCTGAGATCATGCCACTGCATTCCAACCTGGGTGACAGAGTGAGACCTCATCTCAACAAAAAGAGTTACAGAAAATATGTAAACAATAAGCCTGGCTGTGTTCCAATAAAATGTTATTTATGGACACTCAAGCTTGAAATTCATATAATTTGTATATGTAACAAAGACTGTGCTTCTTTTGCGTCCCTCCCCACCAACCATTTAAAAATATAAAACTACTTTAAACCCTCTGGCCATATACAAACTGGCGATAGGCTAGATTTGACCCCTGGGCTTTGGTTTGTCAGTTCCTGCTGTAAAGCCTTGTTTTCAATGAATCTTGCTGCTTCAGAGCCAGATCATGGTCGATTTGGGAGACTCATAATCTTATTCCCCTGTGATATGGTTTGGCTCTGCCTCCCCACCTAAATGTCATCACAAATTGTAATCCCCATGTGTCAAGGGAGGGACTTATAGTCCACATTTGTTGAGGGAGGTGATTGGAACATGAGTGCAGTTTTCCCCATGCTCTTTGCATGACTGAGTTCTCACGAGATCTGATGGATTCATAAGGAGCTCATCCCTCTCTCTCACCTGCCACCATGTATGATGTGCCTGCTTCACCTTCCACCATGATTGTAAGTTTCCTGAGGCCTACCTAGTCATGAGTAACTGTGAGTTAATTAAACCTCTTTCCCTTGTAAATTAACCAGCCTTGGGTATTTCTTTATAGCAGTGTGAAAATGGACTAATATGTCCTGGAAGCCACCTCAGTGTCATCACTCTGATGGGGACTAAGAACATTCATGGTGTTTGGGTCTGTATAACAGAAGGAAAGAGTACTGAAGTTGGACTCCAGATAGCTGGTTTTCAAAGCCAGGGCTATCGCTTTTTTTTTTTTTTTCAGAGGGAGGGTCTTATTCTATCACTCAGGCTGGAGTGCAGTGTCATGATCATGGCTCGCTACAGCCTCAAACTCCTGGGCTCAAGGGATCCTCCCACCTCAGCTTTCTGAGTAGCTGGGACTACAGGCACAGCTAATTTGTTTAAGTTTAAACAAACTGACCACACCTGGCTAATTTGTTTAAACTATTTTTTTTTTTTGGTAGAGATAGGGTCTCCCTATGTTTCCTAGGCTGGTCTTAAACCCGCCACAAGTGATCCTGCCACCTCAGCATTCCAAATGTTGGGACTACAGATGTGAGGTACCTTGCAGGGCCAGGTATCACTTCTTAAATGTTTGACTTGCGGCAATTTTACTGAGCCCCCTACAGAGGACAGAGAAAGAAGCCTGTGAACCTCCTAGGGCTATAATGTAGGTTAAACCGCACAGCAAGAGTAGGCTCTGCTGATGGGACTCCCGATTGCGCCTTCGCTAGTCCCACCCCTTTCCAGTTAAGAAATTTGACCCCTGGGGTTCCCTGGAAATCATCCAATTCTCATGCAGGCAGCAAGCAAATACTGACAAATCTCATTCCTTTCTACCCTTCTCAACATTTTCAGGGGTCAGGGATACCACGCAATA